TGTCTGATTGTCTAAATTTGCTTCGCCATATTTGTGCGCTGCGGTCAGATGTCCTCCTGGAATTAGAGTTACAATCTCCAAGTTTTCAAGCCTCAATTGAGAAAGCTTGAGCGGGTTTTTGGTGATGGTTGCCGAAAATAAAAGTTTAACGGCCCGTTGCTGCTCAAAATGAAAATTTTCATTTGCAGTTAATTTCTTGAGAAAAGGCTCCAATTCGGCATGCGGCTTCCATCGCTTTTGGCAATCAGACATGGAGTTTAGAACGGGATTGATCCAATCTTGGAACTGGATGCCATCTACAATGCGATCAACTTCATCCAGAATAAGGAATTGCAAGTTAGAAAGATGGAATCCAGGCGTCACATTGAGATGATCCACCAGTCGTCCTGGGGTCGAGATAAGGATGTCAACGGGCTGGAAAAGCGAATCCGGCCCCATTTTTCCATCATCGCCACCATACGAAATTGCTCTCTGCTCTTCGCAGAACTTTGATGACGAATTTGATCCGCCAGTGACAACAATTGTTCTCAAATCAGAACCTTTGGTAAGCAAAACCGCAATTTTGTATATTTGCATCGCCAAATCACGCGTTGGCGCAATAATCAATGCACGGAGTGCCGGAACAATGCGCGAAGAAAGCATCGTCATTATTGGGATGAGATAGGTCAACGTTTTTCCAGAGCCCGTTGGCGCATTGACGATAAAATCGTTATTCCTGGCCATGATCATGGGTATCAGATGGGCTTGTACAGGTAGCCAATGCCTAAAAGATAGGTGCGAGAGATTTTCTATAAGCCAGGGTGGAAGCTTGTTTGGATTGTCGCCAGCGATGAGATGCTCTTGCGAAATAAAATCGGCCTCCTGGATGACGATGGAGTGCATTGGGTATTTTTTTGAAATTAAATGTTTTTACATTTAAATTAAAGCATGCAACGTCATTTGTGTCTTTGGTAATCAGAAAGGCATCAGTGGTGGTGCCCTTTTGTTTTATTTAGGAAAACACGGCGAAATTTTAGACTTGCGTCTTCGTTAACCGTTCATCACTGAGATCGTTTGTATCCGTTGTATCGATTTTATGGACGTTGAGCAGATTTCAAATCAAGCCTTACCACTTTCCGCAATGAAGGAGACGAAAACTACAGTGCCGGGTTGGATTAGCTTTGTCTCTGGCGGCGTGGGCGGTATCTGTCTCGTCCTTGTTGGACATCCATTCGACTTGGTAAAGGTCCGTCTTCAGGCCGGAATCCATCAATATGGATCGATGGGAAATGCATTTAACAGTATTGTCACAAAAGACGGCATTCTGGGTCTCTACCGCGGAATGTTAGCCCCGATCATTGGAGTTACTCCTATTTTCGCAGTAAGCTTTTGGGGATATGCATTTGGAATGAAAATGGTAACCAGCTTTAATGGAGATCCGCAGACCAAGCCCACATTGGGTCAGATATCCCTTGCTGGGGCCTTTTCAGCCCTTCCAACGACAGCTTTAATGGTGCCGTTTGAACGGTTGAAAGTTATGGCACAGATACAGGAAGGAACCGCATACAAAGGGCCTGGCTCTATTTTGATATCAATGCTCAGGACCAAAGGAGTTGGTAACAGTCTCAAAATGCTGTACAGAGGAACCATGGCAACGCTGGCGAGAGATGCACCTGGAAGTGTAGCCTATTTTGCGACTTATGAGATATTGAAAAAAAAGCTGTCATCGTCATCGTCGTCGTCCTCATCATCCCTTCCCGTTGCTTCAATACTTGTTGCTGGCGGTCTTGCTGGGATGGCCAACTGGCTTGTAGCAATACCTGCAGATGTGATTAAAAGTCGAATCCAAGCTGGATCTGAGGAGTCTGGGACCCAACTATTAAAAGGCATGCTGCAAAAGGAGGGTCCCAGAGCCTTGTTTAAGGGCCTTGGACCGGCCCTTTTGAGAGCATTCCCAGCAAACGCAGCATGCTTTGCTGGTGTTGAGATATCCACCTCGATGTTTAAAAAGATTGCTTTGGAAAATTAATAAACTTTGACAGTGGTTTAGTCTCGGGAAGTATAAACTCGATCGCTGCAAACTTTGTATCAAAGCCGGCTTTTCAGCCAGTCAATTGAAATCGATGTAGTTTCAAATCACCATGTTGCCTAGTGTTTTAACGCTGGCACCCATGCATGTGCCCTGTGGCTACTTTCTAACTCATTTTATTTTATATGCCGTATCTGGTGAAATGAAAACCCGAGTACAATAAAAACCTAGCCCCATATGATGCGAATATTTCTTGGAGAAGTTTTCCCTTGCCTTGTTCTATCGTACTTTAATTTGATTAAGCTTCTTTTGAGCTTATTGGGGGGTTTTGTCTAGTTGGCACGTCAAAGTATAGATTCCCCCTTTGCCTTTATCCACATTTTGTGCATATATGGGGGGTTTAATATGTTTTCTGATGCTGCACTTTTCCACAAAGCCGTTTTTCATTCCCTTTCTGCGGATGGAATCTCTTTTTGACTTTAGAGATTATCATAGTTCTTATCGATAAGACCAAAAATATTATTTGGTAGCTCTCTTGGGATCTCATTCCTGCCTCTTGATAAAAGTTGACCAATCCTTTGTGTGATTTTTTCACCTCTAATTTACTCTTTTTACCTTTCAGTCCATACTTTCCTGCGGGATTTTTTCACTTTATTCACTCTCAGTCTGCTTGATTTTATTCCTTTTGATATACTTCTATTCGTTCCCTTTTTATGGATTGAGCAGAAAACAGCAAAGAAACTATGAAAAGAATATATTTTGCCCATACATTTAAATGAGCCGTTTCTTTCATGAAAAACGGAGAACCAAATTTATCGGCATCCAATGGATGTGCCAGAAAGCAAGCACAGCTCCATGTTTATTTTGAAAATATGTACCCAAACTTAGGGCTAGGGGCGAGAACCTGAAAACTCTACGTTTTGATTCTTTTCACATTCAATTTTTGTTCGCATGTATTTATACCGTGTCACAAGTTTTCCCATTTCCAATAATTTGGCCCAATAAAAGTTGATCAAAAGATATATGCAGAAACTACTAACGGTGTCTTTTAAAAATCAGGCATTCGCTTTTATTTTGGCTTTCTGGTGAGGCTTTGGATTCCCACAGACTATTCCACAGAAGGATAGGCTTCATGGACCAGCTATGCATGATCTACATGGAACAAGAAGCGGAGCTATACTGGACACGTTTCTGTAAAAATCCAAAGAAAACTAATAGCCGGCACACCTTTTGGTAGCGAGTTTGGCGGCGAACTGGCGTTTCACCCAAAATTTGCAGACTTTGTGCTTTTTAGCAGGCTTTTGGACGGCTTTTGATGGGATCTTGAGCTAATGGCAATTTCTGACATTGAAATAAGCGAGTCCATAATCAGCTCTTCGATTTTTTTCGAAATCTCGAGCGCCTCCTTTCTCTGGACAAAGACAGCCGGATATCGGATAGAGAGCCAAAGATAAAGATTCAGTGTCTTGTGCAAGGTTTCATAGTCAAGCAAAGAGCTGTCCCAGATATTTGAGGAAGACATGCAAAGCTTCCCCTCTTTGGGTAAGTCTACATGCATGGGGCAGGGCTTTCCAGAGGAAATGTGTGACGCATAGAACACAAAACTTTTCATCATTTCTGGATTTTGATGAGAGACTGGCGAACATATTAGAGTGTATTTGTCTCTCAAAGAGAGGCCAATGCCATCGGTAGCAATTGCCAATTTCTAAATGCGGAAAGTTTTAGCCTGCAAATTGACAAACCTTGGCGCAGTCGATGCTTGAAAGGAAAAATGCAGACCTTTTGTTATGGAACTCGTTGGCAAAAATGTCCAAAAGAAAGTTAAACCCCTTTGTGGGATGGTCTCTGGACAGGAGCTCGATTTGGGAGCACAGAGGAAAAATGCACGCAGAAACATAGGACATGGGCTCTTGCGCCCTGCTTAGAGAATCCCGGACTCTGACCAGATCCCTGGCAACGTAACTAAATATTCCCAAAATCGGCTTAACTTACGCAGTAACAAGTCCTCGTTCGTCATATACTGAGCCAAACCTGCCTGCCCGCCCTGAAATTTGACGAATAGCCTGATGAGGGATCATCGCCTTTTTTCCACCATCCCATTTTAGCAGGGAAGAAAAAATGATCCGCTTGATATTCAAGTTTAATCCCATTCCAATCGCATCGGTCGCCACAAGTACATCATAGTCGCTGTTGGGGTCGTTGAAGAGCCGTGCTTGGACGGTGCGGGATTCTAGTGGAAGCGTACCATATATGACGGCTACTTTGCGCTTTGTCTGCATCTCAATAGCTTTTTTGGTAAGAAAAATTGACCTCCGGGAAAAAGCGATCACACAATCCCCTTTTCGCAGTGAAAGGCTTCCGCAAGAATGAGAAACATTGGTCATGAGACCACCACCTGCATGGATTCTTCCAAGAGGCTTAGACTCTGCCTCCAAAGGAACTAGTCGCTTATAATGAGTGTGAATCTCAATTGTCTCCTCCAAGAGAAGAGATATCCTCTTCAACAACGGAAGGATAGCAGGCTCTCCACACACGTGGATTTCTTTCGCAGGCAATCCAAGAAGAGCATGTGTGAATGCCCAGCCACGGTCCGGATCGCTCATCATTTGAATCTCATCAATGACGGCCACTCCAATGGGGGTTCCATAGTCTGCCATCTATAAGACTATAAAAAATAAAGACACGACCTCCACGGTACACGATAAAAAGGGTGCATCTTGAATTCGCTTTCGAAGAGTCGAGGAGTCATACCCGAACAAGACCCTTAAACTATCCATAACCTCCAAATCTCGTGTCTTCTCTCCATCATCGATGGATGCGGAATTCAGTGTTGCATTTTCATCGTCCGTTTTCCTTTCAAAAGTTGTACACAACTTTGGCCCGCGGATTGCTTCTCCAGTGGCAAGCCCGCACCGAAGTCCCTCTGCATTAAGGCGATCGTACATCTCCATTGCCAATAGGCGCAGAGGCGCGCAATATACTCCTCCTTCCCCTTGTTCGCCAGATTCTCTTAGTCTCTGCAATGCAGCATGGGTCTTTCCTGAATTGGTGGGGCCAAGATGTGCGATAATTTTTCTCTTCATCGATCTTGCCAACGGGAACCATGCTGCAGGATTCTTTAAGGCTGTAGAGGTGAAAAACCGGACCCTCACAAAGCTAACGGTAACAATGGGCGAACACGTTATATTAAGCATTAATTAATCAATTAATTAATTTGTGAATTTGTTTAATGTAGAGACAACACCAATAAATGGTTACCGAAATGCAATCATCCTTTAGTTTAGGAGCATTTTTTGCAAATAAAATTGTTTATTATAACCAATAGTTCAATCGTCATTAACATATGGTTAATGTGAAGAGCAAAGAAATGCAAACATCAAAACTCCACACCCGTAAATATAGCAAATAGAGGCTAAACTATTGTCGGTTTCATAAAAATTTCTGCCACTAGTCCGATTTTTCCGACTCTTTTTATTGCGTTAAGATTATCCTAGAGCAAAACAGGTGCCGCCAACTTTTTACGCAGCACTTACTTTTATCATTCTCAGGATATTCATATGCGGTACACATCATGTAAAGGGCTGCAACTAGCAACGCGATCGCAAGTACCGAGAATACAATTAGATGCATGCGTAGTAGAAAAAAACTGATAAGTTATATGAACGGAAGGCCTCTTGGACATTTAATATTGGCGATAAAAGAAAAAAATCGAGATAAAAGAACCGTAGGTCTAACCAAGGTAATTTTGTTGAAGCGAAAGGCCAAGATGGGCAGTGATATTTGAAATCAACTGGGAGAATGCAGCTCCTTAATTTGTTTGTCATCTAGGTGAACTAGTCGAGCATCAACCATTTCTTATCTAATTTCTCATATCGGCAAGAAATTGTGCAATTATGCTTGGATTTCCTACCTTCTATCTTTTCAATCATCTTGAATGCAAGAAATTAATTACTTGGAGAATGAAATGCATGGTAAGACGACCTGATGAGTAATCTTCGGAGTTTCATTGGCTATGTGAGCAACTATTTAATTTAATATTCCTATTGGATGCAAAATTTCCGGTGCAAAACAGTCTATAAAATGCTAGCTGCTTTTTGTGCAAGCTGTCTACTTCAATGAACGTTCTAAAGCTTCTATTTTTCGTAACTTTGATCGCAAGTCTCGTTTTTTCCTCACTGCAAATGGACAGTTTAAAAGATTTAGAAGAAGCGTTACAAGATATAGGAACGCAAGATTCACAAGCTTTACAAGCTTCACAAGCTAAAGAAGAACCTAAACCGAGTTTAAGCCCTCGAAAAAAGCTAATAGCTAATAGAAGTCAAAAGACTCAACTAAGTCTAGAAGCTCATGAAAGAGAAAAAAGATATGAAAGAGAAAAAAGATATGAAAGAGAGCTAAAAGTTAAAGAAAATCAAAAAATTATGCAAGCTAATAGAGAGCAAAAAGCTCGAGAATATGAAGAGCTTCAAAAATTTGAAAACTCCCTAAAAATGAAAAAAGCCGACCAAACGAAACTAAATCAGCAAATGGAAAGAACAATACGAGATGAAATAGCTAGAAGAAGAACTGAAATAGAGCTAAAAGATAAACTAGCTAAACTAGATAAAAAATCTCAAGAAAGTCTACAACATCAAAAAAATAAAATGCAAGGAAAATTTGAGAAAGAGCTAGAAGCTGAAAAAGCTTCCCTAGCTGAAATGGTCAAGCAACTTAAAATGACTCGAAAAAGAAGATCTCAAGCAGTTCTGGCAGGAGCAGTGCCACCGAAACGCGCCTCATCAAACAATAAATAAATCAATTGATTTCATGATCTTTAAGCATACGCAATAATGGCATACAAACGCCCTCCTACTGTTCTGGAATCGCCAATTTAGACCTCTGCCGGTCGTTGCAGGCACCCTTTCCGCCAGCACTCGCATGAGCTATAAGAACACAATGTCTGTATATGGCGAAGGTTTACCCAGCCCTATCCAGCAAAAAATTCCTGCAAAGACCGGCAGAGGTCTAAATTGGCGATTCCAGAACAGTAGGAGGGTGTTTGTATGCCATTATTGCGTATGCTTAAAGATCATGAAATCAATTGATTTATTTATTGTTTGATGAGGCGCGTTTCGGTGGCACTGCTCTTGCCAGAACTGCTTGAGATCTTCTTTTTCGGGCTTCGAATTTTTTTGGCGCTTTTAGCTTTTTGTGTTTAGATTTTCCGAAGCTGGGAGTTTTTTCTAGATCTCTCAAAGCTGGTAGTTGTTTCAGATCACCTAGAAGTTGTTTATATGTTTGATTCTTTAGCACTTGTAGGGTTGTTTGAGTTTCTTTATCCTCTTCTTCAATAACTTCTCTCAGAGATTGTAGAATTTTTGAATAATATTGCAGATCCTGTAGATCTTGTAAATCTTGCAGAAATTTCTTCCACGATTGATATTTTTCTTCTATATGTTTTAACTCTTTTAGAACTTGTGGATCATCTTTCAGATCTTGTAAAACTTTTAGAACTTGTGGATCATCTTTCACATGTTGTAAATTTTGCGACCATTTTTTTTTCCTCTCATATATGGTTTCTATATCTTCTTCAATTTTTTTCAGTTCTTTCATCATTTTTGGATCATCTTCTAGATCTTCTAGATTATCTCGTATATCTTGCTCCTCTTTTTTTAGGTTTTGATATATTTCTTCAATATTTTTTTCTAAAGATTTGAGAGCGTTTTCAGCTCTTAGATCTTGTAGAAAGTGATCTATATTTTCTTTGTTTTTTAGATATGTTTCTTCTAGATAATCTTGCACCTCTTCTTTGATATCTTTTGTATATGCTTGATCTTTTTTTATATTTGCCCCTTCTAGTTCTTTTTTTAGATGTTCTAGTTCTTTTTTTAGATGTTCTAGTTCGCTTCGAAGTTCTTGAAAGGCTAGATTCTGTAAAGATATTTCTAAATTTTCAATATTTCGATCTGCTTCTAAAATTTCAGACTGAAGCAATTCTGCGTGTATTTGAGCTTCTAGACTTAGTTGAGTCTTTTGACTTCTATTAGCTATTAGCTTTTTTCGAGGGCTTAAACTCGGTTTAGGTTCTTCTTTAGCTTGTGAAGCTTGTAAAGCTTGTGAATCTTGCGTTCCTATATCTTGTAACGCTTCTTCTAAATCTTTTAAACTGTCCATTTGCAGTGAGGAAAAAACGAGACTTGCGATCAAAGTTACGAAAAATAGAAGCTTTAGAACGTTCATTGAAGTAGACAGCTTGCACAAAAAGCAGCTAGCATTTTATAGACT